TGGAATAAATCTCTTTTTCTGTCTTCCACTTTCTTGCCTTTGTTGAGACAAGGTTTCTCTTTTGGGGCCAGGCTGGCCTAGAACTCACAGAGATCCACCTGCCTGTGCCTTCTGAGTGCTAAGATTCAAGGCATGTGCCACCATACCTGACTTCCGTTTTCCACTTTGAACTTGGCTCTTCAAATTCTGGTATGGAAGATGGGGCAGCCAGACCTGAGTCCAGGCCTCTGCCTCCCAAGCGCTGGGATTAAAGACATATGCCACCACACCCTGGCTGGGACTACAGGTTTGACAACAACTGAACATTGTTTTGCCTTTAAGCTCCTTCACTGGGTTGAGACCTGAGCCTGCTGTCACTTATTCTCATGCTCACAGTGCCTTAGTGGGTTGCACCGTGCACCTAAGGGGTGATTTAGAGACCATTGCTTGCAGGGAGAGCTTGCAGGAAGCACAGTGGAGTGTCTATTTGGGTCATTTTCCTGACACTGCTTCCTTAGTGCTGAGCTTCCCTACGCTCTGGGCAGGGTGTCCAAACACGACCATCTTCAATGGCTTACTTTCAGTCTTTTCCAATAAAAAGCCATAATCATAATCTTATCTGGAACTCAATGCACAGACAGAAGCTTCTCCACAGAAGTGGGGAGGAGAGGCAGCTGGCCCGGCCTGCCACCAGGCAAGTCTGAAAAGCCACAGCAGATGTAACTGGACAGACTGATTCAGCAGAGCTGCTTCCCTCCCCCAGCAGCCTTTGTCCTGGCCCTGCTCTCCCCCCACCCCCCAGCATGAGCAGCTCAGGCCTCCCAGGAACCTCAGGCAGGGTGACATACCTGGCTACCTTCCCTCAAGGAACAGACAAAGAGTGAGCCGTCCCCACTTTCTGCTTCTGTCCCCACAGGCTGCCAGCGTGGGGGGGCAGCGACAGCTGGCACACAGCCTGCTGCGGAGGGACAAAGGCCACAGAAGCTTTCACAACTCCCAGGTCTAGGCCCTTTTTTCTTCTCACAGAAGGCCAATTCTGATTCTTTACGTCACCTTGGGACCTAGCCGCTCTGGATCAGTTACAGAAGGAGCAAGGGGATACCACTGGAGCGGAATATTCAGGAAACTAACTTGAGTGCGCCTAACAGCCTTTCACCGTGAGCTTATGGACGGCCTGCTTTTCAGTCTTTTCAGCTCTTCCCAAACTATGGTGAATATAGATAGTACCGTCCTCCCTTCGAAATGCGGTCAACATCTAAAGTAAACTGTAAGTTGGTCAGTGAAACCCAAGAGCTTGACTGTCTCTGTTCTAACCTTTCCAGGCATGATTCATATTTCGGTGTGATTCAACCCAAAAGAAATAAAATGGCCTGTCCTGCATGACAAAGGAAGACAGCCAGGCACAGCCGAGAGCCTCCAGCAGGGAGGGCTGCTAGGCCAGAAGGGATGGGAGGTGCAGGTTATACTGTCCTGTTGGGCGCTGAAAACAACGAAGCAACCTCTAAAAGGCCACTCTAGCACCTGTCAGCTCTCAGAGGGCAGGGGCTTCCCCAGGACGAAGCCAGCTGTCCCGTGAGGGGATCTGTCTGGACACGGGCTGTCTGTCCTCAGCAGTGCAGCTACCTAGCTAGCCGGCTACTTAGGCGTGAACAGCAGGCAGCCACTTAGCAGCTGCCGCCCTCTCAGCTGTTCAGTCCCAAGGTTCCCTCTCCTCCCCTCCTCTGCCATGACCCACCTCTAGCTTAGCCACACCCCCGCTGCCCCAGTCCGAGGCTGCTCAGCCCCACCAGTTGGGAAAGGCAGCTTAGAGGATGTGTACACAGCCAGATGGAGGTGATGGAGATCCAAAGGGAGACAGACAAAGTAGAGCCATCCCCATCCCCATTCCTGCCCTGCCCACGGCTGACTACCCTAGCCAGGCTCCCTCTGCTATCTGTCCCCTATGGTCCTGGTGACCTTATATGAACCTGTTCTGCCATGTCACGAAGGTCTCCTTGGCAACATTCCCCATCCTCTGAAGACACCGGTCCTTGTTCTTGGTCTCTTTCCAGACTGCAGGTCAGACATCTCCCCTCCCCTGTGACTTCCTGATGTAAATTAAAGTCCCCCACCCATGCTCCTACAGGACAAGATTGCCGGTTTCTCTCCTAGCCCTCCAGGGTTCTTTCCTGTAAACTGAGGCAATGAAGACATTGCCAATGCTCCTACTCTCCCTCAAACAATATTCTCATACTTCCTGGCCCTGCGACCTCACCGCTCCAATCCAGGCTCACTGCCTACCTATGGAAGAGAACAGCGGTCCACCTAGCTATGGTGTGGGGGGAGGGGCAGACAAGTACTCCTGTTGCCTGGGTCCAGGAGTGGAGCACAGCCCAGCAGACCCTCCGACTACTTGTCGCTAGCTGCTGCCAGGTTTTCCTTGGCACTCTAATATTCGCTACCTTTGCCTACGTCTGTGTGCCATGTGCAGCTACTAGGAGCGGTTTCTCTGGAGATGAGATGCTAGGTCTTGGAATGCGTTGGGACACCGATTCTTCTGAAAACATAACACCAAAATGTGTGAGCGTGATTGGGCTCATGTGTGCGTGCAAGCACACATGAGGATGGTCACAGAACCATGAGTGAATCAGGATGCCCGCTTCTGCTTGCCCTGGACCCCAGGCTGAGAACGCCTGCTGTGTCTCGGAGACACATTCTGGTTGAGCTTTTCTTTGACACCGACTTGGTGTGTGACCTCAACTGTTTCGCCATCTCTTTAGCCAGTCGTAGTGGCAGCTGGTCTAGAGTGTCCCTGGGGCTCCTCTCAGGACTGCAGCTAGGGGACTTCACCACAGCACATCCCTGCTACCAAAGGTCAGGCAAGGGGATGGGCAGGGCTCCAGTTCTACCACGGGGTATGTCCCAGGGAAAGCCCCAGGGAACTACAAGTTTGGGGGAAACTGCAAAGCTTTGGGTGAGCAGCCACTTCCTAATTGTTGGTAGTTTACTTTGAGACAGTTTCCAGCGCCAGCAAAGTGGCTCTGTGTATCAAGGCGCTTGCCACCCAAGCCTCAAAGACGGACGTTCAAACTTCAGACCTCACGGAAAAGCGGATGGAGAGAAATGACTCCACAAAGTTGTTCTCTGATCTCCCCACATGGACCATGGCAGGTGACCCACAGCATGTACATGTAATTCACACACACACACACACACACACACACACTAATAATAATAACAATAATAAAGATGACTTCAAAATGTTTTCCTCAACATACTTTTAAGAGGTTAAATAATTCAGCTTTAACCAAGGGTCTTGGCTAAAAGCTTACCCTGACTTGGGTGCATGACTCTGTCAATGCTTTCTAGTTTCTGAACTGGAGTTCATTGCCAGTTAAACAGCTACGATCCTGGGGCTTCCATTCATAACAAACACTGTTGAATCCTAGGGGTTCGTTCAACACAAACACTGTTGACGTTAAGCTTCAGGATCCAGAGGGATAGCAAGGCGTTGAGAGGGAAACCGGGGGACTCAGAGGAGAAGGGGCTCAGGAGACAGGTGGAGTTCAGCCCTGAAAGCAGCTCTCAGGTCCCTAGGGGAGTAGTACAGAGGGTTTCCTGGCAGACCCTAGAGTCAGGCTGTCCCTTCTCAGACTTGCATGCATCCGGGCTGAACTTCCACATTCTGTTCCTGCTGTCTGCGTCTCATAGCCCCAATGGCTCTGACTCAGGGAGACCTGTACTAGAATCCTGTTCTCAACCTCATCCCGCCCACCAGACACTTCCATCTGCACATCAGCCTTAACGTCAGTGTCAAATCTGCAAGAGCGAGCTGCTAAAAGACGAAGCAGACGCGACAACACACCCCATCAAAACTTTCGGCAAGCAATATTTTGACCTAAGATGAATTTCTTCTTTTTTCTTCCTTCCACCCCACTTCCCTCTTCCCCACTTCCACTCTCCTGGGGATCAGGAAGCAGCGGGTCTGCATTTTCCTGTTCTGCTACTGTGCTTTGCCGTTTCTGTTTGTTTCCTATGGCTGCTGGCAGTGAGTCCTGAGTGACACCCTAGCACCCTGCAGGCAAACTGCAAGCAAGGACAGCAAGAGTCTCTCCTGCCAGCCGCGGGGTCACTCTGGTGAATAACCTGCTTGGGTTTAATTCCTGGATCCCAGCCCTCACCTGCTAAGGGAGGTGAGATTTCTAAAGCTCTCCAGAATGGCTCTGGCTATCTTGGCTCTGTCCTAGCGTGAGAGGAGGCAATCTCCTGCAGTCTAAGAGCTGGAAACACAGGCAAACCACAGGCTAGGGGGCTGAAGTTACAGAGACTTGGAGGCGCAGCTCCCATCCTTGTTCTGCTCCCCAGCTCCTGCTCTCTCCATTCGTTTACGCAACGCTTGGGATCTCATCCTGACTTCATGAGTGCTCCTCAAGCACTCTACCAACTGAGCGACAGCCCCGGCCTTCTGTAACTCCTCTAGCCTCGCTTTCACATCTCAGAATGTGATAAAGAAAGAAAGAAAGAAAGAAAGAAAGAAAGAAAGAAAGAAAGAAAGAAAGAAAGCACTATCGCGGCCCCCCGCAGTGAGGAGCGAGCCGCGGCTACTGTGTTAAAGCCCTTCGCTCACAGCGGACGGTCACAGACAGCCAGCGAGAGAAACAAGTGCCGCAGCGAGCTATAGAGTCCTGGCGTTGGCTTTCCATCCGTGAAATCGGCGGGTTGTGCTGGAAAGCCCTCCTGCCGCCTCTAAGACCGCGTCTCTAGGAGACTGGGTAAGAAGAGGGCGAGGCGAGCACAACTGTAGCTGGCAGTTGGATTCACGTGTCCTGCTAAGATCTAGCCCCTGAAGTGCCTTATCCTAGGAGATTTAAGCGCCGTGCCAGTTTCAGCCCGGGCTGGAGGACCTCAGTGCGCCAGGGTGGCAAGGGGAGGAGACTCGGACAGCGGCGAAAGGGCACAAGTGCTCAGGCTCTAGCGCCCGAGGGTTGAGGGTGGGGTGCTCCGAGGACGCCCATCACCTGTGCAGCATGAGCATCACTCACCATCCAGTCATCGCGTGGTCCAGAGGCTACTAGCAAGGCGGTCCCTCAGCCTGCACCAGAATTGTGCCTGCACTGGGCTCCAGAGCACCGCTTCTGCTGCAGGAGGTCAGGTCCGCCCAAGCCCGCCCTAGACACACCTCTTCCCGCCCCTGGACACGCCCCTCTCTGTCCTCGACAAGCCTCTTCTTTCTGGTCAACAGCATTGCCTATCAGGCCATCTCCTCCTTCCAGAGTGCTTGCTGCCTGTGCCCCTCCAAAAGACCCCGGGCATCTGCCCGCTTGCTTGATCTCTACGGACGCCACTAAGTGCTCCACGCGCTCCTTAAGTCCCCAATCCTCGAGGGAACCCCAGGACGCACGGAGGAAGCAGCTGGACTGGGCCCTAGGGGCCGGCTCTTCAGCAGACAGAGAGGCCAGGGAGCCTGGGTAACGCAGACCCCTGGGTTTCAACAAAGGCCTCTGCGCAGGCGCTGCAGCTACTACTCTGGGCATCCATCCACCTGGGACATTTATTTATTCTCTAGGCACCTTCAAGCAAAGGCATGGCCTCTCAGAAGGCTACGTTAAGAAATCGGAGCTGTCAGGCAGTGGTGGTGCACGCTTTTAATCCGAGCACTTAGGAGGCAGAGGCAGCTGAATTTCTGAGTTCGTTTGAGGCCAGCCTAGTAGTCTGCATAAGCTAGGGCTACACAGGGAAAAACCAGAGACAGAGACAGACACACACACACACACACACACACACACACACACACACACACACACACACACTGATCATCGGAACTGGTGACTTTAAATAGTAAGTTTCCCCTCTCAGTCCCTGTCTTCTGAGCACAGATTTGCCAGCGCTGAGTCAGAGCCCCAAACCACGCCACTGTGGGAGCAAAGGAGAGCTGGGAGGCTGGAGAGCAGGGCAGGAAAGGTTTGTCGGCTCTGTTTTATTTCACCATTCCCAGTCCTGACCTCAGGACCTCTTGGCTGCCCCTGCAATGTAAATCACCTCAGCTCGTCTCAGCCCCTGGATTCTAATCCTCTAAGGGTCACATGCCCATTTTTGAGTATGATTTGGATCTTCTAAAAAGGTAGGTATTCATGTAAATACATGAAAATCAGCCTGTTATCCGAGCCCCTGGACCCCAATTCAGCAGACTGTGCTAATTATTATGGCTGGGAGCAAAGACACCGTGCTCTGTCCTTTTCTTCCTGTGTTGTAGACTCTCTGTGTCTATTTCCCTACCTGCAGGGAGCTAAAGGCCACTGCCCTGGGACCCCTCCAACTCAGCCTGTGCTTGTATTTTTTGGGAACGATCCATTCTCTGGCAACTCGGGGTTTCTGTAGTTGGAGGCCTGTAGGAACACACTTTTTTTTTTTTTTTTTTTTTTTTTTCCCCACAGCCCAATGCTGGGCATTGTCAGAACGGAGACCAATATTCGGGTGCTTCTAAAAGTGTTTACCCAAATGCACAAAATCCCACGGAGACTCCCAATGTCTCCAATCCACCCCCGCCCAAGTGAAGAAGTAAACAGCAGGTGGGAGGGTGAGCTTCCCTCCGGCTCCAGCGTGAATCATGCTCCCTGCCCCAGTTCATGCTGTGGCCTCACCTGGTTTGGGACCGGGGCCTGAGGTGGCCTTGTATGTTTGACAGATGATGCTGGTCTGTCCCTTCCGGGGCTTCTCAGCCCTTAGCCGCAGTGGCTACTGCTTGTATTTCCTCTGAAGTACAAACTGCCCATCGAAGGGACCCCAGTTCTTCAAATAAGAGGGGCCCCGCCAGCCCAGTGTTGGCTGTCTCTCACTTGTGGGGGGAAGGTGGGAGGAAGGGGTGGAGACTGTGGTTACCCACAGTTACCTCCTGAACATCCACTGTCTTCTATGGAAAAGGAAGGGAAGGAGAGGAGAGAGGGGGATGGGGGAGAGAGAGGATAGAGAGAGTCCCACTTAAGAGGAATGGCAGCATGCTAGTCCCAAGGGACAGATCACAACTGCCCGTAGTTTTCGTGCTATGCTGACAACTCGGCAGGGGATGGATGGTGCGACTAGAATTTCAGTGGGCAACTGAAAAAAAAAAATCTCGATGTATAGAACACATCGTGTGTTGTATTTTGCAGAACTTTTGCTTCGCTGTTTATGCTTCAGCTGTGTGTGTTAGATTGCCTTATAAAATGTGCACCACAGCGGGGGTGGGGGTGGGGAGGGGGATGGAAACGGTAGTTTCAGTCCGTCCTGACAAATCCTCATCCTGCCTTTTTTAGTTACTTTGAAGTTAGCAGGCATCTTCCCTGCTGAGCCATTTTACACACCCAGCCTCCTTTTTTGGAGGCCAGGTCTCAGGTAACTCAGGCTGGCCTGGAACTCACTGTGACTGTGTAGCAGAGGATGGTCTTCTTGTCCCCATCTCCCAAGTGCTGGGATGACAGGTGTGCAACACTGTGCTTGGCTCTGAGAGCCATTTTTGAGGCTGTTTTCTTAAAGAATAAGTTGGACTGGGTGGTGGTGGCTCAGGCTTTTAATCCCAGCACTCAGGGAGGCAGAGGCAGGTAGATCTCTGTGAGTTTGAGGCCAGCCTGGGCTACAGAGTGAGTTCCAGGAAAGCTGGGGTTACCCAGAGAAACCCTGTCTTGAAAAACAAACAAACAAACAAACAAACAAACCCCAACAAAGAATAACTTGAATTTTTAAATTAAAATTGGTGATTGATTTCCTAAGGCCCTTGGCAGATGGTTCTGCCAACATGAGATTCAGAACAAATGTCTTTTCTGAGCAATTAATTGTTCAAGAATTTAGTGTGATTTCCCCAAGGAACTTCTGTGGCTGGTGACTGTACCTGGGTCAGCTGGAGAGCCGGTTCCACTTCGCTGCCAGTGCTGTTTGCTTGGGTGTGGTCCCTCAGTTTGGGCACAGTGAGCTCTGAAGGTACAGGAGCTTTGTGAAGGCTTGCCCTTGGATTTCAGGTAGTCCCTCTGAAATTTGGCACACCTATCCACCTTTTCTGCACCCAATGGTTTTTAGCAACTCCATTTGTTAAAGTGGAAATAACACCTCTGGGCAGATATAAGAGACTCTCAGCCCGTATCAGAGCCAGGCTGGAAATGATCACTTATTCCCCATGTGGGCATAACTTCCAATGGCATAAGTACAACTGGCTTCTCATTAAATGTGCGCATGCTCACAGACTTGATGAGTGATTTTTTTTTCTTTATGGCAATGCTTTGGAATTGTCTTTGTACCCCAAGCCTCATAACTCCTCTAAATGCTAGCTAGCACAGGGTTTCCTAGGAGCCTTTACCAGGTCATGTGGCCCAGAGTGCTGCTGAGAGCAGAGAGAACTCTTTGGCTTGAGCCCTTCCTCCATTTAGTCCTGGGAGGAGGAGGTCAATGGTGGAACCAACGGTTGCTCCCAAAACATGTGGGAAAATGGGCTGGCCTGAAGTCACCTTCTGAGAGTGCCTTTATTAGCCATTTCTTCTTCTACCTGCTTCTCTTCCTGATTCTGGAAATACAGCACATTAAGGGAGACAGTAGCTCCATCCAAGAGTAAGTACAAATTAGGAGGCTGAGGAAGGGATACCCTAGCTTTCTTATGCTTCCCCTATCTTCTGGGCTCTTGCCCAACACCACCTGAGACCCCCACCCCTACCCTCCAAACCACTTCCTCACACTTGTGGTCATTCAGCAGACATCCATTCTTCTGTCTTCTTCAACCTCTGAGGGCTTGGCACCTGGAGGGGTCAGGAAGCAGGGAACTGCTGAATATTATTTTCAACATGGCCATTGCTATGCAAATAGTACAGCCACGTATGGTTTCCCAACCTGCTGCCTTTGACTGAACTTATCTTAGTGACCTCTGAGTTCGGGGAGCCACAGGAAACAGTTCAAGGGCAGGACAGATTACAGGAGGACACACCGCTCTTCACAGAAATCTTCAGAAGGGATTATCCCGACACAAAAAGCCTGGGGGTTGACTGGGTCCCTAGTTCCTGAGAATAAGGAGCTGCTGCCAGAGAGAGACACAGGAACCAGGGTCTTCCCTCAAGCCAGGATGTGGAGCCGCCATAGGAAGCCGAGGCCTCCCAGAGGGAGAGACAAGGAGCCTCAGGGAGCACAGAGCACTCACATACACAAGGGCCGTCTGTCCAGCTCTGAGTGTCTCTTGACGAAAAGCATCCTGGGGAATTCACCGAAATTAAGAGGCTTCCGAGGAATGCAAAACATTCCTGGGGCCAGGGACGGGCTGGTCTCCAGCCTGTGGGGCATTGACATGAAGAAATAAAAGATGCTTCAGTTGAGTCGACCTTTCCTCTCTGGAGCAAACCCTGCCCCTCCCCCCCCAAGTTGCCTTTAGTCTTTGCGTCTGGGTTCCAAAGACTTGTGTGCTGGGGAAAGGTGAGAGCCATAGACTTTTAATACTTAGTCTCCATTTGGGAACGGGCACTGGCTTTTCATCCCAGAAGCTCTCTCGGTGAAAAGGATAAACGTTGTCATTACAGCTGGGTGGTTCATTAGGATTCACCAGAGGACAGATAAGGACATGTATACAGCGTTTTTGTCCTCTGCATCTTATCCACTGAAGTTCAAACATAAACAGAAAAATCAACGTAACTGTACTAACACTGTAGGATTTGCCGTTATTAGTCCCTGTGCTTTACAGTGCGAGAATTACTTATATTGCGTTCACATTGCTTTATGGAATGAGCTCAGGCAAAGTGTATGGCAGCGTACATGTGGCTTACATGGACATACCATGCCATTTCAATAAGGGTCTTGAGTATCTGCAGAGTTGGGTATCCACAGTGGACTGGAACCAGTTGCCCAAGAAAGTGGCTCGGAGGGTTATGGGCTGGTGAATGGAAAGTCTGCTAGGCAGGACCCACAGGCCCTGAAGACAGAGTTGATGCTGCAATCTGAAGCCTGCACATCCGTGAGCTGGCAGACAGCCGAGCAAAACGGCTGGCAGAGATGCGCTTGCATCATAAAACCTCCGTCTTTCCTCTGACGGCCACACACTGGTCAAGTGAGGTCCCACCCACATCGAAGGGGCCGGTCTCTGTGTTCAAGGGCTTATTAATTTATTCGTTAATC